ATACTAATTGATCAAATTCAATTAATATCACAGATAATAGATTTCTACTATGTGTCCATAGATATGATATTAGATCAAGAATGAAGCCTTCTTTAGTCAAAGAAATCTTTGTTGTTTGCAAAATTTGATGGGTAGAGGGAAGGAATACTCTAATTTTGGGACTCCCTGTATTTTGATCACTCTCTTGATAATAATTCATAAATATATCTTACGATCTGAACTGCTGATGAGAAAAGACTAGTCTCACTTTATACATATCTAATATGATTTGTTTTGCTTGATTTAGGTCAATTGGCTACAACTAATGGCTACATTTATTTATTTTTAGTGACAACTATTGTAGTTGGTTCAGTTATTGGCACCGTAAAACCTTTGAGTAAGATTAATGTTTTCTTCTTGTTTACTAGAAGTTCTTTCATTTGAAAGCAGACATATAACGTTGAGAAAATCAATTCTATCATTTTTGAACAGGTAACAATAGATCAAGAGTGATTAAAAAAAAAATTCAAATCTACTTTTTTAATTGTTGTTATTCATGTCAAACAGGTACATAGTTAATTGGTCTAAATAAACAAATTTCTTAGAGAAAAATCAGCACTATCATCTAAACAAAAATATATCGAAATGTATACACGTTGTACAATGTTGCAGGTGCTTCACTAATCTTCAGTGAACATTTTTTTCATCATAGATTTTTGAAAAGCATTATTTTTTTTCGCTAGAGTTACATGTTTTTGTTAATATTGTTTTTCAGTGTTTATTATTTTAATCAAATGATATTATTTATATTTGTTGATTATTATTTCAACAAAAATATGTAGCTGTTACCAAAAAAAATAATATTTTTCATAAATATATGACGAAAATAGTTTACTGCAAATTAGTAAAGCCATTGTAACATTATACGAATTTTATGAATTTCGATAAGTTTTTGTTCAGATGATAGCGCTGATTTTTCTATAAAAAATTTGTAATTTAAACCAATTAACTGTGTATCTGTTTGTCATAAATAATACCAGTTTAATGAGAGAGATTGAAATTTTTGAATCACATACCCAGTGAAAAATAATCAAGGAAAAAACGGAAGTAAACGCATTCAGCAAAACATGGATAATTATCTTTCCCATGAAGAACACATTCTATAGTTTGACGAATGTGTTCATGAGCGACAAGAATAAGTTATGCATCTGAAGAGAAAACTTTCTGAAACGTTCATTTTTGAAACGATCAGGATCGGATTCCATCAAAATGAGAATACTTTCTTTGACGTTCCCTCAAGAAATACTTGAGAATGGATTCTTCGAACTGATGAACGCGTTCTCTGTCGTTCTCCTAATTGTCAAATGCTTTCTCGTGAATTCAAATATCAGTTTGAAAAACACAGAACACTTTCGCGTCCGTTTCATAACCTACATCAAATTATTCCGTTATATGGAGAAAGAATATTGATTAGCTCCAAATGGATTCGTCAGCGTTCTCAAATATATTAAATTTTTTTCTCATTATTTTCTGCATGAAAAATTATCATCATAACTCTTAGTTCTTTTATCAACATCCGTTTTCAATGTTGAGCCTTTATCTGTTGATATCGTGACAGTCTTATTTACAATACACTGATAAAAACAATAAAAATAGACACAAGCGATATGCAACAATTCTTCTCTTTGATGAACTTAACAAGCTTTTCCCACAATTTGTATTGTATTTCCCATTTAGTTTTATTTCATCTTAATAGAAATAGTCACGTTGTCCACCTAATAGACAGAGAGTTAGTGTTCTTCTAATTTTATTCGACCTGAATAGTGATAATCATTTTTTCATCTAATACAGTTGGAGTTAGTTTTCCTTTATTTATATTATTCGACGAAATATAAGAAAATAAACTAATTGCAAAGTATACTAATTCGTCGATCATTTTACTTAGTTTTATTCAAAAACAATAGTGAAGCTTTCTACCTATACACGAGGTCATTATCAACACAAAATGATAGAAAGTGAAAAATATGTACAAAATTGTTGTTTTCTTTTCGTTTATTCTGTTCTGGCTATCGATAAACATTGCAATAGAAGGAGAGAGATAATATTTCGATCGTATTGCAATGTTTATCGATAGTCAGAACAGAATAAAAGAAAAGAAAAGAATAATTTTGTACATATTTTTCACTTTCTATCATTTTGTGTTGATAATAACCTTGTGTATAGGTGGAAAGCTTCACTATTGTTTTTGAATAAAACTAAATAAAATGATTGACGAAATAGTATACTTTGCCATTAGTTTTCTTTTGCTTTTATTCCATCGTAATAAAAATAGTCATTTATTTTATCTAGTGAAGATAGAGTTAGTTTACCTACAGTTTTATTCGATCTTAATACAAATAGTCATTTTTTTTCCATTCAATAGAGATAAAGTTAGTGCTTCTTTAGTTTTATTTGATCTTAATCAGAAAAATCATTCTTTTCATCTAGTGGAAATATAGATAGTTTTTAGTTTTCATTCCATCTTAATAGAAGCAGTCAGTTTTGTTCCGTGAAGTTTAGTTATAAACAGTAACCCATGATTTCAGATTGAATAGATAGAGAAATATTTTCTCTGTTGACTTTGTTTTAGATAAGAATATGTTTCTTAGAGAAGGTATATGGATTTTATAGGTAGATTAAGCAGCGGCCCTGTTTATCTTTGTTAAGGGTTTCTGTATGGGTATAGAAATCTAATAAATCCCTCTCAGATACTTTCGTTGAAAACTGCAACCTAGATCAGTTTTTCCTATTAGAATTCCCGAGGAGTTCCAAATGATTGACAAAACCTCCAAGGGACACTTGAAAAGCTAGGCAAAAAAAACCAGAAATCCTTGTAGATTGCCTAGGGGCTGAAGTTTCGTAGCCTCTAGGCAATCTACAAAAATTTCTCGTTTTTTTTTGTCTAGCTTTTCAAATGTTCCTTGGAAGTTTTGTCAATCATTTGGAACTCCTCAGGCATTCTCATAGGAAAAGCTGATCTAAGAGTGCGTTCCGCGAACGTGAAAGCCCTTTTTTTAAGAAAAGAAAACGTTTCTTAAGAGTGAGAATGCATTCTTGACCGTTCCATTTTGGAGCGCATTCCACTTTTATAAAGAACTTTTTTCTTAAAAAAAGTTCTTCTATGAAAGTGAACCGTGTTCTTTGCCGTTATTTTTGATAAATATTCTTCATTGGGAAGGGCAATTGTAACATGTCACCATTGCTTTTACTAGTTGACAAAGTTCATTATGTTGATCTGATCTTCTATCAAGTGTTGAATGATATATTTCAACCGTTAATGATTTCGTTGATCTATTCTCTTTTTGTCCTTTGGTTTTTTCATATCACATCGGGTAGTCAGTTTATGCGGTATTGGATGTTCAATTGGTTATGTACCATGCTGTTGTGTGCCATTGTATCTTTTTTTTTAATCAATTTTGGTGTATTTGCCAATATTCTTCTTATCATTTTCGTTATTATTATGACTTCTGGTGCCACCCTTCAGATATCACTTGAGCTTTCACCACCATTCTTTCGTTATGGCTACGCATCACCTATGTATAATGCAATGAATGGTGCTCGACATCTTCTGTTTGGTTCATATTCACGTTTCGGTATTAATGTTGGGTTGTTAGTTCTTTATCTTTGTGTGATGATCATATTGAATGTTTTGACTATTACCTTTCGAGCCAAAAAGCATAAAAAAAATATGCAAAAAGAAAATGAAAAGAAAAAAAATGTGATGACCAGAAGCATAACTATGCATAAAAATGATCAATATATTCGCATGTAAATATTAGACTATTTGAACATGATTAATTGTTTGTTTCATTCCCATTATTTTCTATTGTATTGATTTCAATTTTGACCTAAATTTAATGTGGAAAGTTAAACTTCAGCAAAGTTTACCAATTTAACTTTAAAATAGGATGGCATATGTGGAAGTCTTGATTATTGATGTTATTTTTATTAAGGATTTATTCTTCCTTATGAACTATATATGTGCGTGTTCATTTTCTTTCTCTTTCTGTTATGTGCCTGTTTCTTTAGTGCTTCCTGATCATTGAAAATTGTTCGTTCGTTTTCTTTCATTATATACTCTACATTCGTTTCTATTCTCTCTCGGTCAATGAACATTGATTTTGACCTTGATCTTTTTTTTATTCTTTTTGGGTATTGACTTTTTTATTGCATATTTTATAATACGTGATACGGTTATCATCATATATACATATATATTCCTTGTTCTATTCGAAAAGGATGCTTATTGTTTGCATTCTCTTCTTGATTCTTTCATTCTTCATTATTGAAATAAAATTAAACTCACGTTCAACAAAATACAAAATTTACATTGACAACGGCAGTGTTCTTAAAATTGCCTTTGTCCATATGGATTAACCCAAATGGGCAGATGCCCTCGACGCTCTGCACAAAGTAAAAGAAATTCGTGAACGTATATTGTCTGCCTCTCATGCTGATATTGGTCGCACATGGTTTACAATTGGCATTGCTTTTCCCTCTTAAGAACGTTATGAAGGTGTGGGTGGATGTGGAGTGTGAGTGTAGGTGGGTGTGGGTGTGGATAGGTGTCCATCCTCTATTTTTTCAACACTCATACCCCCACCCACACACCCACAGGCCCACATCCACACTCATCTATACCATTCTCCTGAAAAAGTTGCCAACTGTTAACAATAAGAGATAAGTCATATTAAATCCTATATTACACAGTATTCTTTTTTCTTTGAAAAAAGATACCGTAACATGACACCCCTGTCGTTTAAAGGAATGACCATACCATTTTTCATCAATTCAATTGATACTATAAAATGAGGTATTAACAAAAAGAAAAAAAATCGGCGAAAATAGGTGGGTAGACCAATGTAAGCTATAAAATGAGTATGTGCCATGATATGATGCCAAACATTACCATTATATTTTTCGTGAAGTAGCAGCATATAATACAAATGGCTTTTACACTCTCAATGCTTCTTATCTCGTGCATGATCGTCTTCATTTACGGGCTACCGGTTAGTTTATTTCATTCGTAACTTCTTATTTTTTTTACTTTACTATCCGATATGAACAGAATCGTTCTAACAATAAAGAAATATTCTGATATACAAAAAAAAGCTATAGTTAAATATTTTCTGAGAGACCGGTCTAGTCATGGTTATAGACAATTGAAATTAGATGTTTTAAGTGACGAAGCAATGTTTTTTTTGTATTCGTAGATAGCATGCGATACCATCAACTCATTGTGTTTTATGGGTATTCAAATATCAATGCGTATTGAACTATTATAGATGTTAATGAAAATGAGATTAGACAAACGATTTGATTGTAACATCCATAATCATACCAGAAATATAATATAAACTATTCGAATTAAAATGATCACAATACTTATATTCACGTAGAGCATTGTTTTAATATTATATTGAATCTTACAATTGTAACTTTTTCATGCAGCGGCTGATTCATACAAAAGAACACATATCCTAAGATAGCAGAAACAGAAAATAGATCCAATGTGGAAGAAATAGGATGCGGTAATATCTACTACCACATTGTACTTCAACTATAAAATGAACACGTTATAATTACACTGTGTTCTAAGATATAATCAACACATAAAAAAGAAATGACTTCTGTTAAGATTGGATTAGAAGTAAATAGAAAAAGTAGATCGAACTGTTTTTTCTTTGTTAAGCAGATGATGTATTACTAAAATTCTGTCATCTACATTAATGAGATTTTTGTATGGGTTTACTCGTTCTAACTTTGCAGTGTTCTTATCCGTTCAATCTCACTCTAATTTTTTTCAACTGTTTCAGATAATAAAAAGACGCTCTAGTGAATATAAGAGTAGACTTCCCCCAATTAAAACACTTTTGGTTCTATATTTAATCGTGTAATAGAGTTCTCATTTTACTAAACTTACAGACGAAATATGTAAATTTTATCATTCTCAAGTCACAATAATAGTAAAAAGAATAAGTGAATTCAGGGCTCTTGAACTAATGAAACGTGAAATTCCGAAATCTTTTAAAATTACTAAAAGTCTTTTGATATCTTGGAGTTTTGAGTTTGCTGTTTCGTTTACCTTAAACTTTACTGTACGATAGAAACTTTTCGTTGTTATTCTATATCAGGCACAAATTGCTCTACCTCAACATAACGTTGACAGAATCCAGTATACAAATGTCAATTCTGAAGAACTCGGTATGCCTTTTTCTACATCAACATACACAGTTTTTTAATCATTCATCTATTCATTTCATTAAACCACAGATAGCGTCTTGGAGGGTGACATGCTTATACCCGGTTTCAAGTCAAAAAGCCAACTTCGTGGTGCAGCCATTCTCACTCATAACAAATGGCCAAATGGAGTTATTCCCTATGATATATCAGCTATCACAGGTAACTGCATTTTCTCGTATGTGTATTCATTACATTATTCCAGTTTCATTCGTTTCTTCCACGATTAGACTCCAAAGATCGTGATAGTATTATAAGGGCCATGGAAAAGCTTATGTACGATACTGGCACACCGTCACCTACCCCTCAGGACCCGACATGGCGCCTTTATGATTGTGTCTACTTTCGTCCACGTACATCGGCGGATAGGACTTTCGTCACCATCGAATACGGAACTGGATGTTGGGCCAATGTAAGGAAAATAATAAAACTTTATAATGTAAATTTTCGTCAATTTTCAATCGGTTAGATCGGTTATTACCAAAACTACAGATTGAAAATGTTATTGCAGAAAGGCGGTTGCTTTGACAGTGGCACCATTCAACATGAATTGATACATGTTTTAGGTACGTCTAGTGCTGTATTTAATTTTGCCGACCTATAACAAAAAATAAATGTATAATGAAATGATATTTTATGTAGGATTTCACCATGAACACAATCGAGCGGATCGTGATGATCATATAATCATTAATCTGGATAACGTGAATGAAGCTGAGGTAAGAGCACGAGAGTTTGATACCAACAAAAACTAATCATGGCAATATATACTTTTTCATCTCCTATAAAAGGAGAAGACGTATTGTCGAAGAAAACTCCAAAATTTGACAATATTTGGTTCAGACTTGAGCTGATTCAATGAAAATTAATATTGACAAAGAGTTCTATCTGTTCATAGATAATTGTGTCAACAATATCCTAAGAATTATATTGACAACTACGTCGATCTTTTTTAATATCAAATTTGTAGTATATATGGCGATATATTTTGTCTAATACTCTGAATAGATATGTAAAACCATTTTTTTAGATGTAAAGAGCAATTTTTTTCACTCAAATATAGAGTCGTGAAGATTTCTTCACAAGATTTGTCACGGCGACGAAACTTTGACTGAAACTGAATTTAATCGGAAATAAGAAGAATCGTTTCTTTTTTTTTCTCGATCCTTTATCAATAGTTTTAGGTGAAATAATGACTTCTGAATTATATCCTTGTTTTTTCGCAGAAATACAATTTCGAAAAACGACGACAGGAAGATTTGACCGATCTGTATACCAAATATGATTACGATTCCATTATGCATTATAGTCAAACAGCTTTTTCCAAGAATGGCAGACCAACAATGGTCCCTAAAAAATCGGGTGTTCAAATTGGTCACAGTAAAAACCTCAGTCCAATTGACATCGAAGAAATTCGTCGATTCTATGGATGCAGAGTATAGAATTAAAGCTATCATCTTTATTTCTTCCATATTCTTTTTTTGTTAAGCCGACAAATAGTTCTGTTTATCAAAAATAAAGAAACGGAATATTCGCTAAAATAAATACTTCTTATCTTATGTGTCTATGTTAAATTTGGACCACCGATAATAAATAGTTTTAGTCGAAGTTTTGACGTTAGATTCTCCACTTTCAATTGATTTTCTTCAAAGAGTTTCAGCGGCACTCTTTACCTCATCACCAGGTGCCTTCTTCTTCTTTCATTGAACGATCAAGCGAGGGACTATTGTCGATCAAACTTCTCTTGAAAGAGCTCATCGGAATCAGATGAAACCATCGCATCAGTGCTTTCTGAACACAGTGAAAGGTCATCGAGTATGTGGGTATGTTTATAAAAGAATGGTTCTAAGCATCATACGGCGCATTTCTATGTCATCATGTTGTGTTTCGTGACTTTTTGGTAGCTTTTTCAAGTTGATCACTGTAGGTGGTGCATTTTTGATGATAGGATGTAAGTGTGGCTGTACATGAGCAGTCATGGGTGGATGTGGTTTGGGGTGTGGGTGTGAGTGTGAGTGTGAGTGTTAATCTTTTCTTCATTCACACCCACATCCTCAAGCATACATCGAAGGAAGGGAATTACTTCGAATGGCCTTACTATTAAATAAACATCCTGATGACTTCATCAAACAACAATTTCAACGAGTATTATCGAAATTCACAATTGGTCAAACGATAACTCATATTAATTACAATCTAGTACGTGAAAAAATAATGAATGCCCCAATAGAAGAACGAATATCGATTGATCATGGCAAAATGATGTTTATTCATTTCACTTATTGCTGAAGTATGAAAACATGTTCAGTTAAATTCCACATGTTATGGCGAGGACTATAACGAAAGTATTACAGAGGATTAATAGATCTAAGAAGTGTTCAGCTGGCCTAAGATTTATTCACACTAACATAACAACTTATGGCTCTAAATCTTGGCCGATGGAAAGAGATACAAATTGGCAAAACTCGAAACAAGAACTGATTAGTGGTGATGTTGACTTGGTTGTTGCCAGTGTTACCTATTTGATATTTATTCCATTTTGTTTTTTTGCTTGACTGTAATGCAGAACCCTAATGGGTGTTCCTATATTTCAATAAAAAACATGAAACGCGTTGGCGATTTGAAATTCTGCATTTATCTTCATTTAAAAGCACATCAACTATTGTTTGATTGATTAAATCAACGAAGAACGATTGCTAAAAAGCAAGAGTTGAGATTAGCAGATTGGTTTGTATTGAAGAAATATAAGTCGATCTGTTTTTTCGATTGATTTACATTTCTAGAACTAAAAAATGGTTTATGAGCATGGCTGTAACTAGAAAAAAAGGTTCAGAAAATAGCACTCAAAACTAGAACTATTTTTTTTACAGTGTATCATTTCCCAATTTGTCATATAGGAAATGTTGAATTTTTTCCGGCAATGCCGGGTACTTCAGCTAGTTTTAATATAAAGAGTTCGAGTTTATATGAGATTTATTTCTTGTTATAATATTCTGATGCAAAATAAGCGAAAATAATTCTCCAAATATATATGTTGAATACATGAAAAAAGAATATTTGAAAGATTAATAATTTTCTCCAAAAATCGTGATATATACAAAAGTCATTTCATTAAAATAGGCCTTCGTTAAATTTATTTTGACTATTCTATTGCTAATGGTATTGGATCCCGTAACTTTAGGTTTTGATCACTGTCAAGCCAATTTCGTATTCTTTTCCACTTGTTAGCACTATAAACAATGTGACGATAGGCAATGTTATATGCTCTCTTGATTTCACTGTTACTTGTGATAGTACTTTTACATGCCTTTAAATCATCAATAGTAAACTGGTTAGAGATATTCAGTGTTTTACATGCATCTTCCAATACTTCATGATAATTTTTGGCAATTTCATAAGCTGCCACAAGCTTTTTGAAATCTTCTTCAGCAACTTTTTTATTATCACATTTGTCTGGATGTGTCGCTTGTGCTTTTCGATAATAAGCTTGTTGCATGTTTCTCATCGTACTATCAGGATTACATGCGAATGTTTCAAGCGCTGCACAATAGAGTTTACGTTGAGCATTTAATTTTTCATCTTCACCATCAGGAACGATTTTTTCTGATAAATATCTAAAGAGAAGATCAGCACCACCACCACACACAAGTCCACCAATTGCAGTGCCTAGAAGAACTGCTATTGTTGCAGGCCAAGCTGTTATACCCAATAAAACAGCAATACCCGCAACAAAATAACCCGCGGCAAAACCACCGACAAATCCTGTGCCCACAGTCACAGCACAAGCTGATATTGAGGGTGTGGGTGTGGGTGGGTGGTGTAGATGTGGGGTGGGAGTGTGGGTGAGTGTGGAAGTGGGTGTGTATATCTTCTCTTAATATATAATCACACCCACC